ATGTCCTGCATGGTTTGCCTGTCTTTTCCTGCACGTTCTGCTTGGATCCTAACCATGCTCTTGGCTTCTTTGACCATCTCTATGCTGCAGAATCTGAAATTGGAAAGAAATGGTCAGATTTTCTTTTATTTTTAGTTATCTACTACACATCTCCACCAGGCTACTCTTGACTGTGGTGTCTCATGTTCAGACTTTCTCATCTCAGCTCTGTCTCCCACGTCACTCCTCTCTGCTCTGAGTCTGTTCCTCCTTATTTCTTTATTTCAACTGATGGCGCTACCACCCATGCCCTCAATCTGAGCTGGAAACACGGGATTCATAGCCCTATTTTTTCCCCTTTTCCATCCATCACTTACAGTTGGGCCCCAGAAGATATGTTTTTCCCTCTGTGTATTGAGTTGGCCAAAAAGTTCATTCAGATTTTTCCATAAGATGTTACAGAAAAACCCGAACTTTCTGGCCAACCCAACAGCTCTCGGATCCATCTTCTCTGCTGCTGCTGCCTTGTTAGTGCTTATCACTGCCCCTCTCTGCTGCAGTAACCTCCTGCCTGCTGTCTCCTCTCCAGTGTCGTCTTTTCTTCATGGCTGTAATAATCTTTCTAAAATAAATTTCCATCATGCCCTCCACCAGTGGCTTCCACATACTGTGGAAACTTCATAATTCAGTTCATGCTTCCCCTTCGTCTGGATTTCCTGGGACTGCTTTGACAAGTGACCACATACTCAGTAACTTGAAACAACCAAGATTTCCTCTCTCCTAGATTTGGAAATCAGGATGTCAGCAGAGTCAATTCCTGCTTTGGGGCTCAGAGGGAGGGTCTGTTGGTGTCTTGCTGCTGGTTTCTGGTCATGGCTGGCGGTCTTGGTGGTCCTTGTCTTGTAGGTGCATCATTCTAGTTTCTGCCTCCGTCTTCACATACCTTTTCCCCTGTGTGTCTCTGTGCCTTCTTATGGCCCTGCTTAGAGGAATACCAGTCACTGGATTAGAGCCCACCTTAAAGTAGTTAGCTTGCTCCTTGGAAGAAAAGCTATGACAAACCTAGACAACATATTAAAAAGCAGGGACATTACTTTGCCTACAAAGATCCATCCTGTTAAAGCTATGGTTTTTCCAGTAGTCATGTGTGGATTTGAGAGTTGGACCATGGAAAAGGCTGAGCGCCAAAAAATTGATGCTTTAGAACAGTGTCCTTAGAGAAGACTCTTGAGAGTTCCTTGGACTGCAGGATCAAACCAGTCAATGCTAAAGGAAATCAGTCCTGAAATGTTCACTGGAAGGACTGATGCTGAAGCTGAAGCTCCAATACTTTAACCACCTGATCTGAAGAGTCAGCTCATTGGAAGAGACCCTGATGCTGGGAAAGATTGAAGGCAGGAGGAAAAGGGGACAAGAGGATGAGATGGTTGGATGGTATCACAGACTCAGTGGACATGAGTTTGAGTAAGCTCCGGGAGATGGTGAAGGACAGGGAAGCCTGGCATGATGCAGCCCATGGGGTCACAAAGAGTCAGGCATGACTGAGCGATAGAACAGCAGCAACAACTTAAGTTAATATGACAGGCTTCCCAGGTGGCTCAGTGGTAAAGAATCCATTTGCTAATGTGAGAAATGCAGGAGATGTGGGTTTGATTCCTGGTTTGGAAAGATCTCATGAAGGAGGAAATGGCAACCCACTCCAGTATTCTTGCCTGGTAAATCCCATGGACAGAGGAGCCTGGTAGGCTGCAGTCCATGGGGTCACAGAGTCAGACACAACTGAGCATGCAATGCTAAGTTAGTATTACCTCGTCTTCACTAGTTACATCTGCAAAAACTCTGAATCATGCAATCACGACTTTGAAAGATGCTGAGACCTCAGAACTAACTGGGAGTAGATAGAGGTTAGGAACAAAGCCGTCCCCCTCCAGCAGATGCACTTGAAAGCCTGGTAGTTTTTCCATTCTCCTTATTTGGATGAAAGGATTTTAAAGAATATAATTTCATGGCCTTTTTTAAAAATTCCTGTTTCAGTGGAATTAATTTTAAAACCATCTTGCTGCAGTTTCATTGAAAATCACTTTTTTCTTTCTGATGGAAAAGGAAAAGAGAGGTTTAACTATGAAGAAAAACTAAGAAATGGGACATTCCTCTACACTCCACTACAGGTGATCAATGTACAAGGATATTTATTTTTTAAATTTTTATTTATTTATTTATTTATTTTTTAGTACAAGGATATTTAGAAGAAAAGAAACACTCGATGTGTAATATCTTTAAACATTCATTTTTCTAATTGCAGTGAGTGGTGGTGAACTATTCATTGGTGCTAATTATTGCATGGTTTTGGCATGTTAGAAAAATTGTTACAGGCTGTAAATAGTTACTTTTCAATTTAAAAGAATGCTTGGAGGTTAAATACTATTATTCGAATAGCTTTGAAACAAAAGTGACTTAAACACATATTCCGTAGCCCCAAGTTAGAAAGTGTTCCCTCCGTGGTTGTCAAAGGAAATCCCTGTTTCTTCTGGTTATGGAAGCAACACAAACTCATTTTTATACTAATGGGCACCCCTCAGGGTAACTAGGATTAAAGGAACACTGCATGTCACTGTAGCCAACAATGAATCATGTGGCCAAAATGCAGCTAATCACAGCCTCTTGTGTGTATCATTATGTAGCAGCTCTTTGTAAATTGGGTTAGTAATTTTGAGGATGCCATCCCATGCCAGAACCCCCAAGACTGTGGAGTTTCTGAGCCATTTCTGCTATTTCTCTTGCCCCTGGGGCAGGGCTTCCTAATGTGGGCTCCATGATAACGTTAGGAAGTAGTCAAAAATCTATAGTGGTGTTGGTACCACCTGTCACTGTCACCCATAGAAATCTCAGCTGTCTTGAAGTACTTTTTACTCTTCATCACTTCCAAGGTACTGTGTTGTTGGACCATCTGTTAGATCCCATCAAATGTGCTAATAAAGAAGCATATACTAATTTGTCTTTTAATGTTGTGATAGCTGTATATCAGTGTCAGCCATTTCCTTTGTGAATTTGTTATTTTAAGCATTTAAAAATGCTGTTCTTCATGAAAAACAAGGCAAACTGAGGAATTGTTATAGAACCAAGGTTTCTAGGGAGACGTGACGGCAAAATGCAGTGGGTACCCTAGATCTTGAAACAAAAAGAAGGCATTAATGGGAACACTGGAGAAATGCAAATCAAAGCCTGAAATGTAGTTAATAGTAATATATAAACAACGGTTTCCTCCTCTTAACAAGGGTACCATGGAGATGTCCAATGTCAGCAGTGGGGCAAACTGAATGAGGGTCATTTGAGAACACTCTGGACCATCTTTGCAACTTTTCTGTACATCTATTAATAATCTATAGTGGCTTTCCAGGTTTCCCCAGTGGCGCTAGTGGTAAAGAACCCACCTGCCGATATAGGAGACTTAAGAGATGCGTGTTCGATCCCTGGGTGGGGAAGATCCCCTGGAGGAGGGCATGCCAACCCACTCCAGTATTCTTGTCTGGAAAATTCCATGGACAGAGGTGCCTGGCGGGCTACACTCCATAGGACCAGAAAGAGCTGGACGCAACTGAGCGACTAAGCACACACACAAGTCTGTAGTGAGTCACACTCTCACTTGGTCTGCTGCCGGCTTCCAGAGATGTCGGGGTCAGGTTTTGTGTCAACTCAAGGCCTTCGTAGCCTCTTTCTGTTACAGCTCTGAGGAGCTGTGGAGACAGACCAGTCCAAAGGGAGGGAGAAGTTTTCCAGAGAAGTGAAATAATCTGCAGTGTATTATTGTGGAAGAGGCACGATTCTGGGGTCAGAAAGGTCCAGCTTTGTATCCCGCCTCTGTCACCAGCTTTGTGCTCCAGGGCCAGCAATTGCTCTGGGCATCCTCTTCGTCTTTGCAAAATGAGGCCATCAGTAATGGTTTGCTGGGGTCATTGTGAGGATTGGCATTAACGTGGCCACTCTGTAGCCCTTCTGTTGGTTCTGGTTGGTGTGTTTTAGTGCCTGTGACATGCCAGGCACCACGTGAAGCATTTTTCATAAGGTATCTAATTTAATCTTCACAACACCTGTCTCACACAACCATTTCATAGATAGGGAAACTGAGGTCAGAGGCTCAGCAACCCTGCTGCCAAAGCCACTGCCTGAGCTTGACTTCACATCTGTGCTGGCTGCAGCTCCCTCTGCCTTTGAGGCTGAGCCTTCCCTCCCTTCCCCAGGGCACTTGGTTACAGGATGCTCTTCCCTCTAACTTCTGAAGCCTCTCTCGTTGGTTTTGCGCACCATTTAGATTGGGATGCTCCCCCATGACTGTTGTCCATTATTGTTGGCTTCTCTAGACTTGAGATTACCTGGCTGTAAAGTGAGGATGCTGTGTGGTCCTCATGGTCTGTCCCTCTACGGAAGGTCTGTTCTGCACTTTGTGGATTTTACCTGCTTATTTCCACTGGTTCATGAGATGTTTACTGAGTCACTGAAACCAACATTTTTCTAATTTGTTTTGAGCAAAGTTGTGCATTTCTGTGTTATTCTCCCAGATTCCAGAGAGGGAGAAAAACAGAGTTCCAAAAGCCTTAGTGACCTCCTCAAATCATAGCAATTAAAAAAAGAAAACAAGAACCCGGAGGCTACTGTTAATGTCACAGTTCCTTAATTGTGATTTTGCTGAGGAATTATTTTAAAAGACCAGGGAATAATTTTATTTTTTGTTTCTTTCTTTGATTAGAGTGGAGATATCATGTGTCATGATGTACTTGCCAATTATTTCAAATTAGAGTCTAGCAAAGTTGGGGAGTTACTAGTGTCAAGTATTACCTGGACAGGTGAATTTAGCCCTAAGATGTAGCTACTGGGTAAGGAGCCTGATTTTCACAAGTGATGTGGGGATGCACTTGAGTGTCAAAATGAGAAAACTGCTCACATTGCTTGGCACGGTTACTTCAATGGGGACTGGAGGGGGGTGCGGTTCTGGTGATTGCATGATCTGCTCCTCTGTTTTTCAGTTTTTCCCCTACATCCTGCTGCTGGTGGCCATCCTGCTGTACCTGCCCTCCCTGTTTTGGCGTTTCGCAGCTGCTCCTCATGTTTGCTCGGATTTGAAGTTTATCATGGAAGAACTCGACAAAGTTTACAACCGCGCAATTAAAGCCGCGAAGAGCATGCATGACCTTGATTTGAGAGACAGTGTCTGTCCAGCACCAAAAGTTAATGAGAACACGGGGCAAAGGTAACTCAGCTCCCAGCCCACTGGGATTTGGGAGTACGAGTTTGCTGCCCTTCTCCTGTCCATCTGGGCTTCGGGTTCTCACTACCAGTACATGGGGGACTGCCATCTGCCTTGTGACACCTGGGGGGAGCCAGGAAGGCCCACTCTCCCCAGATCTCACCCCACCTGTCTGCCCCAGCAGCGGTCCTCACCTCAAGTCCTTCCCTTGTGGAGTGAAGTGTCACTCTCTCATATTCTCAAGTGCAGGGTGAGTTGCTTTGACCTTCCCCTTCATGGAGAAACACAGGATTATAAGGCTCCTGGGCACCAAGAGTGGATGTGAGGGAACTAGGGAACAAGTTCCTTGCTTTTTTGACATTCTTCTTTTGGTTTTTGTTATTGGCAATAGCAATAATAGCATTTAGTTCAGTTCAATTCAGTTGCTCAGTCACGTCTGACTCTTTGCGACCCCATGAATTGCAGCATGTCAGGCCTCCCTGTGCATCACCAACCCCCGGAGTTTACTCAAACTCATGTCCATCGAGTCAGTGATGCCATCCAGCCATCTCATCCTCTGTCGTCCCCTTCTCCTCCTGCCCCCAATCCCTCCCAGCATCAGGGTCTTTTCCAATGAGTCAGCTCTTTGCATGAGGTGGCCAGAGTATTGGAGTTTCAGCTTCAGTATCAGTCCTTCCAATGAACACCCAGGACTGATCTCCGCATTAGTAAGTCTCATTTTGGGCTTCCCAGTTGGCACTACTTAGTGTTAAAGAATCTGCCTGTCAGTACAGGAGACCAAGAGACGTGGGTTCAATCCCTGCGTTAGAAAGATTCCCTGGAATAGAAAATGGCACCCCACTCCAGTATTCTTGCCTGGAGAATTCCACGGGCAGAGGTGTCTGGCAGATTATGTTCCATGGGACTGCAAAGAGTTGGACACAACTGAGCACACAGCTCTCATTTTAAAAAGTTCTTAATATAACTCAGACACTGTTGAGTTTTCCAAAGTGAATTATCACGTTATCTCATTTAATATTCAAAACATCATTACAGATAACTGCATTTATTTATCCCCCTCACAGCTGTTGTCCCATTCCCCCCCCCTCCCCCGCCCCAGTTGAAAACTCTGTCCTGTAGCTTTAAGTGGAAGACCTGGAACCAGGACCAGGTTTAGCTAAACCCACACCCTCTCATCTGTCTGCCTCCCACTGCTGGCCTACAGGAAGCAGATGTGTTCTAGTTAGGCTGGAAAAATTGTCTTTTTTCTACACACTTGAATGGAAAATTATAGTTTAAAAAAACAGCAGTAGAATAAGAACAATCAAATTTATGTAACAAATATTTACCATTCACTAGGATGCCAGGAGTTGTTCTAACAATTTACAAGTAGCACATTTAATGAATTAGACGTTCCTTAAAATATTAAGTTGGGGGGAGAAGGGTTTTATTATTACTTTTCCTTCTTTTTTTTAAAAAAAAAAAACAACAAAAAACTAATTTTATTCCCTGGGTACTCCAGTGAAGTTACAGATAGAGAAGTTTGGAAGGGAAGGTGATGGAAATTTTCCATGTGGTACCATTGAATGTGTTTCTATTTGATGGTCTTGGTGAGGATTTAAATTATTTTTCTTTGTTTCTTTTTAGTTTACAGGAAAGCCACTTCAGGTACCCAATTGTGGAACAGTACTTAAGGACAAAGAAAGCCTCCAGACATTTAATCGTCAAGTACATGAGCTGCCGGGTGCTGTCACTCAGCACGATACTGTTAGCCAGCATCTACCTGGGCTATTACCTGAGCCTCTCCTCTCTCTCGGATGAGTTCGTTTGCAGCATCAAATCTGGCATCCTGAAAAATGACAGCACTGTCCCCGATAAGTTCCAGTGCAAGCTCATTGCTGTTGGTATCTTTCGGCTGCTCAGTTTCATCAACCTCGTGGTGTATGTCATGCTGGTTCCGGTGGTGGTCTACTCCCTGTTTGTTCCCTTCCAGCAGAAGACAGATGTTCTCAAAGTGTATGAAATCCTGCCCACGTTCGATGTTCTGCATTTGAAGTTGGAAGGGTACAATGACTTGAGCCTCTATATTCTTTTCTTGGAGGAGAATATCAGTGAACTCAAGTCATACAAATGTCTTAAGGTCCTGGAGAATATTAAAAGCAGTTGTCAGGACATTGACCCCATGCTGCTCCTGACCAACCTTGGCATGATCAAGATGGACATGGTTGATGGCAAAAGTCCCGAGCCTGTGGAGATGATGGCGGAGGAGCTGGGGGACCAGACGACAGAGCTGCAAGGTAGGCCTGGCTCTTGGGGAGCTGGGGTGCCCACGGAGCCCTTTGCACCTCCGATGACTGACTGACAGTGTCTGCCCCGCCCACTGGTGTTAGGCTATTTCTCCAGTGTGATTAGTGGAAAGCCCTCAGTGCAGGGAGAGAGGGGGTTGTTGGTGCTGCCTCAGGTTTCCAGGGGAAACACCTGTTGCTCTTCCTTCTCATTCTCTTCTGTCTCATTCTCCACCTCTTGCTCAAGCGTTCCTCTCCGATGTCACTCTTGCTCATTTTTGTTTTGTTTTACTGGCTTGTCTCCCTGTCCCTCTGATCATCTTGTTGGTCTTTCTCTGTCTCTTACAAAAGGGACTGGGAGTTTATTGAGTTACTTGTCACCGTGACCCACCTTCAGCTGCTCTGCAGTGAAGCTAAGATGAAGTGGATAAGGCAGAAACCAACAGCTAGATTGATAGCAGAGGAAAAGTTAGTGCCAATGGAACCTGCCATAGGATTTCCGTCATAAATGCTTGTTTTCTGTTCTGGCAGATTTGAATGTACACAGTGAAACAAAAATAAATAATAGAGAGAAGAATGCCCGACAGAGACTTCTGGATACTTCTTGCTGATGATTTTTGTCCTGTGAACTTCAGATCAGTGACTGACCTGGGATTCGTTTTGGCTACAGCACCTCTGGCAGGCACCCAGCTGATTGGCAGTAAATGGTTCTCAGCAGAGGTACTGAGCGTGTCTTACTGAGTCTCTGGTGGAAATGATGGTCAACAAACATTGTGGAGGGTGGTTCGTGAACTTCCTACGAGACAACGTGGAAACAAGTAAGCCTCGGCAAGTGTCGACACGAAAAGTTGTAAGGCTAATTCCAGGAAGAGGAGTAGCGCTTTAGTGCCACAAACAAAATGCCTTTCTGTGCAGATGGTGCAAAGAGCCTCTGAACTACAGAGAGCAAGAACTTGGGGAGCTTTTTATTTTGTTTTATGGGATGATAATGTCAGGGTATAATTTAATATGAATCTCATCTATGTCCCAATGGCTGTTGGAGGACAAAACTTTCCCTGACTGACTCTGGACCCATGGGGGTCTCTTCCTGGCAGTGTCCTACCCTGGGAGAACCGCTGGCGCTCCTGTTCTCATAACCAGGCTCTGGGCCCTGCCACCTGTCACCCGTGGCCAGCTGAGACCCTCTAACCACCATGTGATGCCCTGCGCTGCAAAGGGCAGTGGGCCCAAGTGCTGCTCTGGCTGAGAACTTTGTTAATAAGGTAAAGTTGAAAGGATGTTTAATTCTTGACTTCATACAGGAAGGAGTGCTTCTAAATGAACCCAGTGGGGAAAGCAAGCATACAGAACAAGTTAAAGTGGCTACTTTAGAAGAGGTTGTCTGCAGGGCATTCCTCTGTTATCAAAAGCATTTGAGACAGGATGTTACTGAGGCAAATTCACAGAACACAGAAGGCTTAAAGTCAGGGACATTTTTTGCCTATTAGGATCAGAATGTATAAATGACATTTGCCATGTGCACATTAACATGTGCTCAGAGCCAGAACAGTTTTGCAGTTTATTTATATTTAAAAACATCTTTGAAAAATTCATTTAATTTTAGAATTGTATGATATCAGAATTGAGGCCATTTGGGAAGAACATTCTAGCATTAATGAGGAATTATAGAATAAATGTTACAAATAGGTATATCGTGTATCAACCAAGCATTATTTCGTAAACATTCAAGGCTGACTGGGAATATCAGAAACCTTTTCCCAATTCCAGTCATGTAAATAGATCCCAATTATGTTTACATTTTATACAAAATTCTTAAAAAGGACATCTGTGGACCTTCCTGTTTTTATTCTTGGAAAGTTAAAATTAGTACATTGCTACTGAATAATCCTCAGGAGCCTCAAAGTTTATGTGTGGCTCTTAGGGACAGTTGTTTACCTGATATAATTACATAAGCTGCTCTCTGCCTTTCAGAATATTCGCAGAAGTGGATTTTATTTGTGTTTCTGTGATGGTTTCTGAGATGGAAAGCTAATAATAAATATCCAGAATTCAATCAGTGTTTTAAATTATTCTTACTGCATAATATTTATTACCCTTGAATTATAGTATGACTTAGAAATGTCAGTAATCTAAATCATCGATTTTGCTACTTTTTTATATCACTGTATCAGATGTTGTATTGTAGTTCTCTCCACCTGTTTCTTTGTGTAATTTGAAAATTTTCTGAAATATAGTTTTCTATGACTTGATTTTTTTCCCCCAAAGTCTCAGATTTTTTATAGACTGCCCCTAATTTATAGTTTGAAGTGGATATGTTATTTTAGGAAATCAGGAACTCTCTCAGCCCTGTCACATGTAATTCTTTAATTAGAGCCCTAACATCTGTGCACCCCCCATCCCTACTCTCTGAGTTCCAGTATCATCTGTGATGTCCCAGAGGTCAGCTAGTGACTGGCTGCGTGGATGTGAATAAGGCTGGTGCCCACCTTCGAGGAATTCAGAGACTAGTGAAAGACAGTGAAGACAGAGGCAGGTACCAAGAGAAAGAGTAATAACCACAATGAAGGTCCTTCCAGAGAACTCCCAGCAAATGCTGTGTTCTTGGGGAACACAAACTATTTTTCTCTTTCCCATCATTTCTAGCTGCTAGTTTTGAGAGTCTAGTTATTACTTTTCCTGGAAGTTCTTTAGCCACATATCCCCCAAGCTGAAGCTTAAATAAACAGTAACACAGACAGTGATTCTGAACAGAAAGAGCTCCAATCGCTCTTTGTACCTTACCTTGCAGGACAACGGGAACACAAGCCTGAAGGTACATGATACTGTCCATGAACAATCACGGCAATAAGAGGCTAATGGGGACATCTGGCCATACATTTTGACTTGAGGAAAAGCGTTATTAGGAAAGTTAACTTCTCCATCCACTGCTGGCTTAGGTGAGGACTACCTTTGAGCAAGGATGAGGAATCAGTCATTGCTTTACAAAAGGGGGCAAACAGATCCTAAATGACCGCTGCCAGTATCAGCTAACTTTGTTTCCGGCCAGTGTCTTCCTAATAAACCACCACATGTCCTCTCACCCAGGCTTGTAGCACCAGTGTTGGGTCTGCATTCTGACCAACCATTCTCACAGCAGTGTCCGGCTCCTCTAATTTCACCAAATAACAGGCAGACACTCTCTTAAGATAGAGGCTCTTAAACTTTTAGGAGGTTACAAACCCTCTTGTAAATATATTTTCTAAAGCTAGGGACCTTCTCAGACACACACACAATGCTAAATACCCTTGGGGTCTTCGTGGTCCATACACCCCAGGTTAAGAAGCTGGCTCTAATGGCTGGGGACCAAGCCACGTCGTAGGGAGATTCCCGTAGCCCTTGTGAAAAATCGTTGCTCCCAACAGTAAGTCAGGTGCTCATTTTGAGAGGGTAACAGGCAGGAAGGAAGGCCAGGGGTCTCCAAATGGAGGAAAGAGGCTGCAGGTGCCAGACATTTTTATCTCTCATAAGCGGCAGGAAGAAACAAACCAGTGATATGTCTTTCCTTCTCTATATAAATTTAAAAGGAGGTTTCTCTTAAAGTCCTGTGTTGCCATGACACCTGGTCTCACCTGAAGCTGACTACTGTCAAACCTTGAGTTAACCAATACATTTCTTTTCCCTATGGAACTGTTGTCTTAAGCTATGTTAATGAACCCCAGACTCTATCTTCAAGTTGGTTCCCCCAAACGGCCTAACTTACTTACTCAGGTATTGTTCCCCTAATCTATGTAAATAGAACTATTTGTTGGCATTCTGCCTTTCTACAAGATTCAAGTCAATCGTTTTATGGCCAGGGATGAATTATCTGGTGCCATTCTAAATTTTATGACATTCCTTTCTTTTCATTAACAGACTATGAGTGACTATATAACATACAGCTAAAGACTAGGAGGGGGGTACTCTGTTGCCCCCTTCTGATGCCTATGTCAGAAGCTTTCTCTATCTCCTTTATACTTTAATAAAATTTTATTACACAAAAGCTCTGAGCGATCCAGCCTTGTCTCTGGCCCCGGATTGAATTCTTCTCCTCCGGAGGCCAAGAATCCCACGTCTTATCGTTCAGCAACAACCTTTCAATTTACTGATTAGTGTTTACACACTTAGAATGAGCTGTCCCCTTGAGTAACTGACAATGTTTCCTCAAGTCAGACTGAAAGAGTCCGTTAAGAGAGCGGGGGGTGGGCAGTAGCCCAGCCTGATCAGGGGTCTGCGCAGACCACGTCCTCAGCCTCCAGATCACGGCATCGTCCCCTGCAGCCAGCCTCGCTGGGCAGGGGGAGGGAGGGCATGCACGATGCTTTGTCCTACTTCGTAAGCATCCTGGGAGAAATGGAGAAATGTCCCACATTGTATGGCAGGTCCTGTGGGGTGTTTGTGTTTCTTTTGTGGAGGCTTCCTATTCTGAGCACCCTCTCCTTTGCAAGGATGAGCTAAGCTGGGATGGCGGCAGGGCACTGCATGCACTGACCCTGTGAGAACTGTTCAACTCTTAGAGCTAGATTGTTGCACAGCTTTTAAAATGCATGCGTGTTGGTCTCTTTTGCTTATTTTGTTTTAAACCCATTGGCATATCACAAGTTCCAGAACAGTGACTGGCATGGACTAGGCATTCTGTAAATACTTGAACAAAAGAGCACACCATTATAATAAATCCTAGTTTGTGGACAACTGTAATTTGATTTTAAAAGGCAAATGGTCCTCTGCAGGTCAGGGGAGGCGAGGCTTATTTAGCCTCTTGCTGGAGAAAGGATCCGTTCTGCAAATGGATAGATTTCTGCATGTAAGTAGTGACAGGTCTTAGCTTTTTATTTTGGAGTGAATTGTGATCCTTTCCGTGTTAAATACAAGTTTTCAGTGTTGCCTCCCAGTGATTAGGGCAATTGAAGTTATAAAGGTCTCTGTAATTTCCCAGAATAATTTGAAAAGGAATGTTGACTGAAATGTGCAATTCTGAGTAATTTCATCTGAAGGTACTAGGATGAAATGGCTCCTCCTGGGCAGTCATTGGCATTTTTGTTCTGTTTTTCACAAGTTAAGTAAAACCTTTGAGAAAGTTTGGCAAAGATGACATTGTGTCATTTATGGAATGTAATACACGCTCATCCTTGATTGGTTTGTCCTGCCTGCTTTAGATGAAATGTATTGTGTTTGGGGATTCTCTCTTTTGCTGTAAGAATACTTGTTTCTTAATGCATGTGATTTGATCAGTCATTGTTCCTGAAAGTTGTAAAAGTTTCTCGTGCCTTGAATGCTTTCTCTGTGCCTCATCAGAAGAGGAAAAAAGAATTCTGCAATGTCCCAAGAGTTTTCTACAAAAACTGAAGCCATCAGCTCCTCTTTAACAAGTTGGCTTTTTTTAAAAGCACGATAATGACAATTTAACGGTATTCATAAAGTGGTGCTCTAGGCATAATTTACGTTCTTTTTAATGACTACATTTTTTCAAACCTTTTAAAGAAAAATATTTTTTTTTTTCTTTCCGTGTCATTTGGTAAGAACGATTTGGTTTCTATTCCACAGAGATTGAAGGATTGGAACAAATTACAGTCTTAGAAAATGACTGTTAAAAACC